CACATGTTATACTGACATCAAATATAGTGAAAGCGGGGGTTACACTGTGGGGGAGGGACATACAAAGCAACAAAGAAATAATCTTATAAATGCGTTACAAACAACATGCATGAAAGAAACAAAAACATTAAAATACATATTTGAGGGTTCGTTTTCCTAACATCACATTATCTGACTTTTTCCGCTTGACTCATACCTATACTAGATATTGCAAATAAAGGAAACCATGGGACCTATGTTTCTTTGGGCCTGGCTTACTTCACTTAATATAATTTTTTCCAAGCCTTTCCATTTCCTAACAAATGGGGAAATGTCATTCTTTCTGATGGAGGCATAGAATTCCATTGTGTATATATACCACATTTTCTTGATCCATTCATCTACTGAGGGGCATCTGGGTTGGTTCCATATCTTAGCTATGGTAAATAATGCTGCAATAAACATAGTTGTGCTGGTAGCTTTAGTGTGGTCTTTTTTGTAAACATTTGGGTAAATGCCCAAAAGTGGAATTGCTGGGTCATAGGGGAGTTCTATGTGAAGTCTTTTGAGGAACCTCCATACTGCTTTCCAAAGTGGTTGAACAAGTTTACATTCCCACCAACAATGAAGTAAGGTTCCTTTCTGTCCACATCCCCTTCAGCATCTGTTGTTGTTAGAGTTCTTGATTTTTGCTGTTCTAACTGGAGTGAGGTGATATCTCAATGTTGTTTTGATTTGCATTTCTTTTATGGCTAGGGATGTTGAACATTTCTTCATGTGTCTATTGGCCATCCTTCTTTCTTCTTTAGAGAAGTTTCTCTTTAAGTCTTTAGCCCATTTATTTATTGGGCAGTTGTTTCTTTGAGGATTTGTTGGGGACCTAAGTTTCTTTGGGCCTGGCTTACTTCACTTAATATAATTTTTTCCAAGTCTTTCCATTTCCTAACAAATGTGGCAATGTCATTCTTTCTGATGGAGGCGTAGAATTCCATTGTGTATATATACCACATTTTCTTGATCCATTCATCTACTGAGGGGCATCTGGGTTGGTTCCATATCTTAGCTATGGTAAATAATGCTGCAATAAACATAGTCATGCTGGTAGCTTTAGTGTGGTCTTTTTTGAGAACATTTGGGTAAATGCCCAAAATAGACATATATTTTACTATGAGAACCTTGATAGAGAGAAGCCAGCATTGATTATCTGCATGAGGGCTGGTGTGGAGAAGCGTTCTTTCCTAGCTTGATAAAGACCTAGACTCACATGGACTATTTATATCAAAAGAGAAAAATGTACGACACAAGGAGTAGAGGTAAAAAAGATGATAAGGGTAGAGTTGACTATTCTAGAAAGTATCACCTAAAGGAAAGACAGGGTTCTTTCTTCTCCTGAGACAGGATCACCAGGGAGGGCAAGAAAGAGGGACAGAGATTGTGGGGAGGGAGTCCATTCATCTCCTCTGCCTGTTTACCTGCTAAGACAGGAACAAATGATGATGAGCTCAGGGGGAGTGGTGAAGATCTGAGTTAACAAAGATTGATTGCAGTTACAAATTTCCAGGATATGGAGATGCCTAGTTCCCCCAGAGCTCTCAGTAATCTGAGGTGTGAACACTTGATTAGTGGGGACTGGCAAGGTGGAGGGAAAAGTACTGTTAGGAATGAATGTACTGGTGAGACGTGGGCACTACTGAGTGTGACATGGTTGGGGAGAAATCTCTGACATCTCTGTTCTCTATATGACTTGGGGTTATTGGCCTTCAGTGGGACCCAGTGAGCTCCCAGCCCAAGATTTAACATCTATGTCTCTGCGGTGTTCTTTGGAACCTCATGAGCTAAGCCCAAGCTTTAGCTGCTCCAAATTATATCTACCTATTTCTCTGGGGGTACTCTTCAAAAGAATTTCACAAATGTCACATGATCGTTTCAATTATGATATGCTGATACTTATTCCACACTATGTTTTGGTGTGATTCTTCTATTTTTCACACCTGGATGGAAAACTAATTGAATGCAACAAGTAGATCTTCTATGTCCCTTGTCTGTGGAGTCCATTCCATGTTCCATGTAGTTGCTGCTGGCACATGGTAGGACACTCAGTAACGTAAAATGGATCCCCTTTCTATGGAGATGTTTCAGTTACTAGTGGTTCAACTAAAGTGCTAAAACAACCATTAGTCATGGAAAATACTTGCTTGAAGACAAATTAATTCATTAAATAATTCAGTAAAGTTTGCTGACCATCTGCCTTGTGCTAAGCAGTATGCTAAACATTAGGAATGAGAAGATACCTTCCCTATGTCCCTTTATTCAGGGGCTTTATATTCATACAAAAGACACAGATACAAATGATGAATGTAGAATATATGACAGAAGATGGAAGCATAAAGAAAGGATATAGTTTCTGCATCTGGGGATCAGGGAAAGCATGGCAGAGGTGATGCTATTAAAGAAGCCACAAATAGAATTGCAGCAGACAGAAGAAGACAGAGCAGACTGAGCAAGGGGAAGCGCTTGTTGAGGATACAGAGACTGGAGAGCATTGAATTTGGGGAACATTGAAGGTGAAATTCTTTGGAGGCATGGCAAGTAGTCTCACCAAAAAGGTAGGTAGGTGTTGGGCTAACTACAGGGCTACGAATCTGTAAATTCTCACTTAAACCAGACAATAGCCAGGCAGCTAAGTTTGGGATTAAATCTAATATCTCATGATGATGGAGGGGCTCCAGGCTTTGAGGGGCAAATTGATAAATGCTGTTGATGAAATAGAAACCTACTCAAAGCTCAGGCATGGTGCTCAAGCAGACCATTGGTGAGTTAAAAACTAAGTAGTTGGGGATGGAGAGTTGAAATGACAAAAGAGATTGTGGCCGATATAGGTGGATGAGGAGGCCAAGAGAACACAGGGTCTAAAGATCTGGGTCAGCAATTTTCAGGTGGGATCCATATTAGTTGGCTTCTCGATAGAGGTGGACAGCCAGAAGGAAAAGGGAGAAAGGAGAAGGTGGGGGGGGGGGGCAAGAGCCACAGGGAGAACCTAGAGACTTTGCAAATCAGTGTCCTAGGATATCGCTGGGTATGGCAGAGCCCCAGTGATGACAGAGGGGAATGTTCAGACAGGACAAAACTGAAGCCATGGTCAGTCTTACAAACCTGCAGGACTCGGAGGTCATTGGGATCTGGTGGGAGAAGAGGTAGGCAGTAGTTCTCCTCACTTAGAAACTAATCTCATTACACGTAGAGGTAGGGAGATTACAGAGCCAAGTGCCTACTGGGCTGGGGTGGTGCTAGTCCGTACTTGCTTTGCTGGAGGCCGTGCAGTTTGGAAAAGAAATTTTTATAAAGCAATTTGCATACCCCCAGTTTATAAAAATGTTCAAACCACTTGACTCTGTAATTCTACATGTGGGAATTTGCCTTAAGGAAATAGTTCAAAAGAATGAGGCGTCTATGTTCCTTCATCCAAACATTAACAATTAATTAAGCCATTAATTAGACATTATGTATTTGTACTGCACATGTTCCAGGATCTCTGCTCGGCAAACAAGCATGCTTACTGTGGGGATGTTTATGAGACTAAAACATAGTGAACAACCTAAAGAATTTGAACTGCCACAGGGGTTTAACAGAGCAAGAGACAATCATGCACTAGGCTGTTTTGCTTCAATACTCAGGGATACCCAGTAGAAATCAGAATGGCCTGCCTGCTGCGGTGGGTTAGGCCACATTCACAGAACTGTGCTGTCTGAACTTGATTTCACAGAGTCCCTAAGAGTCAGAGTCAATGACAGTGAAGTGGGTATGATAGTGTTGCCACCTCATGGGGCTCCTGTTGAGACTAAATGAAGAAAAGATGTGCAAAGTGCTTGGCATACTTCCTAGCACATGAGTACTCAGTAAAAACCAAGCCAGCTGTTTTGGTTTGCTTGCTTTATGGTTTTTGTTAGTCCAGGGCTTGAACTCCTGGCTAGCACTCTACCATGTGAGCCATAGCTCCTCTTCTGGCTTTTTGGTGATTCATTGGAGGTAGGAGTCTCATGGACTTCCCCTGCCTGAGCTGGTTTTGAACTGTGATCCTCAGATCTCAGATTCCTGAGAAGCTAGATTACAGCTATGAGCCACCAGCATTCAACAAGCTGTGATTTCATCAAATATGGGAAAATGTGGGTCAATTGAAAGACACTGACAGAGGCTAACCAAAATTTTCACTCCTGGAAATATTATGAGTAATTTGTCTCCCAGGTTGTGTCTGCTATCCTTGCACTCAAATCTTTTCTTAATGAATATTTTTATTATGTTTAAGTAGTTGTACAAAGGAGTTGCCATTCCACAAATCACTTTTTTTTTGGGGTCCGGTTGTGGGGCCTGAACTCTGGGCCTGGGCGCTATCCCTCAACTCTTCAGCTCAAGGCTAGTGCTCTACCACTTGAGCCACAGCACCACCTCCGGCTTTTTTCTTTTTTCTTATGTGGCGCTGAGGAATCGAACCCAGGGCCTCAGGCATGCAAGGCAAGCACTCTACCACTGAGCCACCTTCCCAGCTCCAACAACTCACTTTGTGAATACAATGCATCTTGATCAACGTCACCCCTTTCCACATTCTCACCCACCCCTTCCCTCACTTTTCTTAATTTTTAGGACATGTATTGAGATTGTTTTGCCACTTAACAAATCAGTTTATGTATATAAATGCATCTTGCTCTCTGTCATCCCTTCAACATTTTCACTCCCTTTGATGCGCCCTTCCCCTTATTTTTCCTCAATTCCATGGTATATACAGTGAATTCTTAACTGCATTCTTCCTCCCCTTTCCTCTTTATTTTGCTAAATCTCTTCCCCTAACTCTATCAACCCCACCCCTGCTTGGATGTACCCCTCCCCTCCCATTTCTTGATACTTATTTCGTTTGGCTTTGCAAGTGACATAGAAAAATTCAGAAATGGGCCAAGCACTTTGACTTATCAGCTGATCTGAGGAAAGTCAGAACGATGGACAGGTTTCATTTTCTTTTTTCTTCCCAGCCGTGTTTGGTCAGCGCTTGGATGAAACTGTGGCCTATGAACAGAAGTTTGGCTCTCACCCGGTGCCCATCCTGGTAGAGAAGTGTGCAGAGTTCATTCTTGAACATGGTGTGAATGAAGAGGGCATCTTCCGTCTGCCTGGGCAGGACAACCTCGTTAAGCAACTGAGAGATGCTTTTGACGCTGGGGAGCGGCCCTCCTTTGACAGGTATGCTGTCCTTGCCTGAGGTGTGATATATATGCTGTCTCTTCTACCTCTCCCTGCTAGCTGAGCTACAGATGCACACAGACATATTCAGGAGTTCTGGCTCACAAAAGAAAAAGGTCTTTTGTTCTCACAGTTCTGAATTTGGGACCTGGAACCCAGCTAGGAGAGCTTAGGTAAGAGACAATGATCTGAACAGATTCAAGTGATGCTTCAAATATAAGGGAAGAGGCTGAAAGAGTAGGGAATACAGAATCTGAGACCCACCCTTTCTAGGAAAGCCTGGAAGAGAAGACTATACAGACAACGTGGTTAAGAATCTACTATATCCATGGCACTTAGGGTCTTCCTCTGTGTTCTAGAAGAATGAACATTTCAAATTAGTCTCCAAGACTATAGCACTCCCTGACTTACCTCAGTTCTGTGCCTTCTGTGGGGAGCATATATGACTGTGACAGCCTTGTGTTCTCCCAAGTCTCCTCTGTGGCGGCTGCCTACCCTCTTCTGGACATGTCAGGTGTAACGACACTTCCTTTCAACTCTTCTCCTCCTTCCTCCTCCTGCCACTTGGCAGGGCTTTCCCACTGGGTTGTGCTGAGCTGCTACACCCTCCACCCCTGTGCCTATTATGCAATGCCCATTCTGGGGTTACCTGCAGATACTTGTCCTACTGGCATCACATCCATTGCTCTTTCCAAATTACCAACCCACAAGGCAAGATTTAATATGATAAGCCTAAATTCCATTTCTTTTCAAACACTGAAGTCCCCCAAAGCTTATTTAGGACAGAGGGGAAAGCTGTAGACTTGAGTATTGGGCTTGTGTGGTCGTTGTCGGTGTTTCCCTTCTCCACCACCCTGCTTCTACCCCAGCATGGCCCATCTTTCCTCTGTAACATTTCTGAGGTCTATCTGTTTCTGTCTGTGCTCACTGCTATAGTCTCAGTTTGGAGCCTGCTCCTGGGCCCTAAATAAAGAGTAGATCTCATATCTTTTCCCCCATGACTCTCCAAGCCTCCTTCCCTTCCCCCTCTCTCCTGACCTGATCCTCACCATCTCCCACACACCACACACAGTTCAGATGAACATGATCCATGATTGGCCTCCCTCTCTGCTACCTCTAAGCCAGACTGGCTTTCTGAGAGTCAGTCTAACATGGGTCACTTTCCCTTCAGAGATATTTGTGCTGGTTTCATTGACCTCTTGTTTGGTTGTAGGGTTTGGAAACATTTACATCAGTTATAGACTCTTTTTTTTTTTTTTTTGCTGGTCCTGGGGCTTGAACTCAGGGCCCGGGCACTGTCCCTGAGCTTCTTTTGCGCAGGCTAGCACTCTACCATTGAGCCACTTCCACCTCTAGCTTTTTCCAATTATGTGGTACTGAGGAATCATACCCAGGGCTTCATGCTTGCTCGGCAAGCACTCTGCCACTGAGCCACATGTCCATCCCCATAGATATCTTTTAACCTCTTGAAACAATACATTTTAGAAATCACTGAGTGGCAGAGGGGGATTGGGAGGACAGAGCCCCTTTCTGATGTCCCCATCAGCAGGTCAGTGGATGCTTCCTTAGATCTTCTACATTGCCCAAATTGTGTGTTCCACCAGAAGAATCCCCCATTGGCTCACTAGTATCGAATCTACATGGGGACTCTTGTGTTGGAGATTCTAGCACAGGTGTGGAAAGTTCTTATTAGAGATAGAAATGTAAAGTTAGCATTTTCCTTATCAGTTCTGTGTTAGGCATGGGTATTTCCCATACCTATACTTCTGTGAGAAACAGGCCAAATGGATATTCCACATCATTAGCAGTCCTCTCCAAAGCAAGGGCCATCGGAGCCTTCTGAGGGGCCTAAGGTAACTTCGGGTGAATGAGTTGTTAAATTCAGAATCCACACAGTGCCTAGTGCTTGAATGTATACATCCATTTGAGGCTTTTCTGCTAGGTTGGAGGATAGCCAATTCAGGAAAAATGATGCTGGAAGCATCGAAAAGACTATCAGAATGACATCTGAGTCAGTCTTAATTTGGTGGGGCATAGATATCACATAAAAATGTGTAGAACCAACTGTAGAAGTTCCCTTGTGTTAAGAGAACTATGAAAACTTAGAACAGGGAACTCTTGACATGAGAGGTTGCTTCCGCCAAAAGAAATGAAGTTTATACTGAGATCCAATAACAAGAATGAGACGTTAGCCAGGTCATCAGTTGGCAATATCAGGCTGACAATGTGGAGGGTTCACAGTCCCAAGTGTGTGTGTGTGTGTGTGTCCGTCCGTCTGTCCTTTTATTATAATTCTGACCCATCTTATATTCATTTGTATCTTTGTATGTGGCTATAATCACTTTCTCTTTCTAGTGTTGAAGATTTTTATTGTCTTTAGTTTCTTCTGATCAAACTTATTATTTTTTTTAATGGATGGTATTTTTTTTTTTTTTACCAAGAATCCAGTTCTGACTTGTCATTTGTGTTCTTTTCCTCATCTCAATCCCTTGTTTCCTTTGTTCATTCTGTGTTTTCTCTGTGTTGGGGGCTGGTCCAGGCAGAGCATCAGTGAACAGAAAGCTGGAGGCAGAGCTACCAGATAGAGGCTGGAGCAGGATCCTGGGAAAAAAACCAAATGACCTTCTGAATAGGGCAGTTAAAGGATAAGAGGGGCTTCAAGGGTTTTGCATGAGTTTGGGGCTCCTATATTGAAGAGATTTTGGAAGTTAATTGGATGTGTGTTAGAATCCCTAGACTGGCTTGCTCATGGGGACATGAAGAGAATGCCACTCCTGCAGATTGTCAGCTGATTGTCTTTATGTCTATTCCTTGGGAACTTCCCATCATGTGTTGACAACTTTTCCCAGCTAGCTCTGTTCAGAGATATTTTTAGACAGCAATTCAGCAGGGTAGGACCTTTCAGAATCTCCATGTTAAGGGAACAGTTCCGCCCCAGATTTCCTGAGGGCAGCCATGGAGCGTAGGCAGGGATCTGTGCCAGCTCTGTGTTTTCTTTTAGAGGTAGAAAGTTCATAGGCTATGAAGGAGGGGCAGAGAATGGAGAGAACTGTCGAACAACAACTGGCTACCAAGAATAAAAACAAAATATCGTACACAAAGCTCAAGGCAGAGCTTTATAGACAAGTTCTGATGCTTTTCTTTCTCTTGGCCCAAATATCTCTCTTTTCCTTCTGCTGTCCAAACCTACCTCCTGTCCCTCCTCCCAGAGGAATATCATCCCAGTCGGCTTTCATTCCCCTTTGCTGAATGGTCCACTACAGACAGACAGATATATGGACCATAGAGCTTAAGAGCACAATAAGCCAAGCCATCTAGGTATGTGTAAACCCTCTGAGTTCCCATAGTGACTCAATTACCTGATGCACTTCTCAGAACATGTTCTCTTTGTTAAGCAGTATGTGAATGTACGTGGAGATTCAGATTTATTTTCTCTTATAATGCTGCAAAATAAATTCAGTTACCTCCAAGCCAGAGGTCAGCAAACTTTTGATAATGGGCCACATAGTAAATATTTAGATTTTTCAGGCTAGAGATCTTTTGCCACAGCTATGAGCAGTGTGTGCTCTTACATTTAGGAAGCATAGTAGAATTGCATAGATCAATGAGTATGTGGGGGTCTAAAACTTTATTGTGTTGAATTTCATAGAACTTCCACAAGCTGTGAGACAATTTTTAAAAGTATTTTTCCCTCGGCCATTTAAAAATGTTGAGAATCATTTTCCGTTTGCAAGCTACATAAATACAGGTGCTGGTCCAGCTCTACCTCTTAGCTGTGGCTTTTCAGACCCTGCTATGAGTTGGAGAAGCTGAACCACAAAGCCTTGCTTCTTTGCATCAACCAGATACTCATCTGAATGTTGGCTCAGTCCTTGTAATGAGGGACAGGACCTCCTTTCCTCCTCTCCAGGAAGACACACATGCCTTACGCTGTAACTCGCCACTTTTCAGATTTTATCTGGGGTGTTATTTTATCTGAGGAATCATCTATGGCTTCCCAGTTCTGGCTTGGGCATCACTTTCTTTTTTTTTTTTTTTATTGTAAAGCTACTGTACAGAGGGTTACAGTTACATGAGTGAGGTTATGAGTACACTTCCTCTTGAACATTGTTACCCCCTCCATTGTTTTCCCCCTACCATCCCCTCCCTCCCTCCCTTCCCCGAGGTTCTTTTTTTTTTTTTTTGATTGTGATTAAATGATTACATAATTTCAAAGTCACAAGTTCATTCTAACTTCCCTGGAGCAAATTGTCTACCACAGTCTGTAATATATAACAGTGTTCACATGTTATATACCATATTTGTGATCAGCAGCATGAGGATATTTAGTAGTGGTTCAACCAGATGAGCGGGAGTTCTTTGTTTCTTAAGTCCTGTTAGTTTTGTCGTATCACCTAACCTTTTGGATTTAGCATCCACTTATGAGGGAGACCATGTACCGTTTGTCTCTTCGTTCTTGGCTTACCTTGCTCAACATGATTCCTTCTAGCTCCATCCATTTCCCTGCAAATGCCATTATTTTGTCATTTCTAATGGCTGCATAATATTCCATTGTGTATAGATACCACAATTTTTGGATCCATTCATCTGTGGTGGGGCACCTAGGTTGTTTCCATATCCTAGCTATTGCGAACAGTGCTGCAATAAACATGGAGGTGCACGTGTCCTTGTATATTGGTTCCTGTTGTTCAGGGTAGATGCCTAGAAGTGGTATGACTGGGTCGTAAGGGAGGTCAATCTTTAGCTTTCTAAGGACCCTCCAGACTGCTTTCCAAAGTGGTTGTATAAGTGTACATTCCCACCAGCAGTGTAATAGGGTTCCTCTTTCTCCACATCCCCTCCAGCATTTGTCGTTGGCTGATTTGTGGATGTGGGACATTCTGACTGGGGTAAGGTGGTATCTCAGGGTTGTCTTTATTTGCATTTCCTTCACCACCAGGGATGATGAACATTTCCTCATGTGTTTCTTTGCCATTTTTATTTCTTCATTTGAGAAGTCC